TTTGACCATGACTGAAGAAGACATAGTGTCGTATACTGTAGACAGTTGTCGAAATAATTATTTTAAATAGGTGGGAATATTTTTAGCAATTAAGATTTTGGGATAGGTCAGGCCTGTGAAGCAAAATGTGCTGAGGTGACAAAAATCAAATAGATATAAGACGGCCGCACGGGCAGGAAGAAGAGGAGTCCCCGTCGTCGCCGGTGTGTTGTCGTTGTCGAGAGCGTGCTATCGACGTTGACACGGAAGAGGCGACGGTTACTGTACGGACAATTTATTTATGTTTTAATTGTTTTTTTAAAAAGAATAAAAGTGTTTCCGACCCGAGAAATCATTTGTTTTGTTTGAGTAGCCACGCAATTTGCCGTACTCCTTAAAATCTAATCTGTAACCGGTTAATTCATGGTCGTTGAGGATTTAAGGTTTAAACGGTGAAGGTAATCTTACATTATTGTATTCTTTCAATCTTATCTGTAACCGGTTAATTTATGGTCGTTGAGGATTGAAAGTCTAAGCATTAAAGTAACGATATCGACTTTTGAGTGCCGAACTGTAACCGGTTAATTTATGGTCTTTTGGTTCCTCAAACGTCGGTAGAGGTACACCACCGAAAAGTGGGTATACGACAATAGCTAAATATAAATTCTATTTTAAATGTGATTTATGCAAATGTGCTGTTGATATCCATACCCGTATTCGCAATCGTGACCATTTGACTAGGAAATTCAGACAGACTCTGTGAAATACGTACCAGTTTTTCTCCGCAATCTTTCCAATTACGATGCTTATTTCATAATAACAGAACTTGATTATAATTCAAATAGGGTAAATGTAATTTCAAACAGCGAGGAAAAGTACATTTCGTTTTCTAAATACATCAGCAATAAATTCAGCATCCGGTTCATTGATACATCGATTTATGGCCACACGCTTTTCTACTCTAGCCACAAACCTGGTAACAACAGACTTGGAAAAATTCCATGAAACTAGAAAACATTGTTTCAATAACAATATGCCGATTGTTACCCACGAAAAAGTCTATCCTTACGACTTTACTTATGATTGGTTTTAACTCGAACAAACCTCTTTACCAGAGATATAAGATTTGTATAACACTCTGACAGAAGAATTCGTTAGAGATACGGAATATCAGTTTGCGACAGAAGTTTGGAATCATTTCAATTGTTAAACGCTGGGAGAGTATTCAGATCTATATTTAAAAATTGAAGTTTTACTCCTGGCAGATGTTTTTTGAAAATTTACGTGATCTTTGATTAAACATATATCATTTGGATCCAGCATACTACTACACAGCTCCAGCATTTTCTTTTGATGCCATGTTGAAATACACGGCGATAAAACTGGATTTACTATCAGATTATGAAATGCTTCTCATGTTTGAAAATGGTGAGTACATTGGAATTATGTTATTTCTCCATGCATAAAATATAATTAAATTTTTTATAGATATGCGAGGTGGACTCACACAAGCCTAATTAATACGGTATGCAAAACCCAATACTGAAAAAACACCAGATTATAACCAACCAGACCTCAAAACATGGGTTGCTTATCAGGACTGTAACAATCTTTATGTCTGGGAAATGAGCTGACTCATGCCTTATGGTGACTTCAAGTTTTTCAAACCATCACTTGACGGATTAAATGATTTAACAGAGAATTCACCCATATGACGGATTTACGAGGTCAATATTGCTTATTCAAAAGAACTACATAATAAGCATAATGACTTTCCATGCCTACCACAAAGCAGCGTACCACCAGATTCAAAAGTGTACAAACTCATGGCTAAATTTGAGCCTTAGAAAAATTATATTATTCATTATCGTAATCTCCAACAAGCCTTATCATGGACTCATAGTTGAAAATGTAAATTTTGCGGATACGATGGAGAATATTAAAATTATTAATAATCCAGGTATTTATTTTGAGGATATCTCGTCCCTTAAAATTATAACTGCTAGGCGGAACATGGTGACATACTACAATTTAACAAATTTCGATAACAAGTAGGTATGTACTAATAAATAATTACGTGAGTTCTACTGTTAATATTTTCGAGACTATTGGATATAGGAGTAAGGAGGTTACTCAACGTGCGTGGAGTTTAAGGCTATTAATAATCAGGTATTGGAAAAAATTAGAAAAGATAGAAATACGCTGGAACAATATTTAGCAACAGATGAGAATTCGAGAAGAAAAAGAAATTCGTACTTTGGGGTAATAGGGAAAATTCAAAAAACTTTGTTCGGGGTGTTAATAGAAGAGGAAGGGGAAGAGTTTGAAGATGTGGAATTACAGTATTATCAACGAAAAAGTACCCCAATATTTTTCGGTTTTAAAGGATAGTGCCAAAGCTCTGGAAACGATAGACCAGGAAATTACAGAGAACTTCAAAACGAATTCACAAAAACAAACCAATTTGACCCACTCTTTTAGTATTGGGAGCATAGGAATAATAATCATAACCACGATATTATGGAAACTATGGTGGGGGTGGAGAAAAGGTAGTAAAACTAATAAAAAAAAAAAGAATTTGCGGTAACCTATCGGATTCACTTGCTGGAGAATCCCATACTGAACAATACGAACACAGGGTAGCTTATGCTGATGACATAGTCTCGTTAGTAGCAGGCAACACGCGAATAGAGACCATCCAAAGAACGGAAGATCACCTTAGAGACCTATTAGTATGGTCCAAAAGATACGGCCTCAAATTTTCACCAACGAAATCCACATGTATCCCCATGAAAGGCGTCCTAGCACCAGGTTTCTATATAAACTTCGGCGAGGACAGAATTAAGACAGAAGATAAGGTCAAATACCTAGGAATCATAATAGACAGAGACATGAAGTACAAGTCACAGATTGACAACATAGTGCAGAACCAAACCGCTGACTACAGCAGATTAAGAAGTACAGTAGGAAATTACTGGGGGGCCAACTTTTACTCAGCACTACTGCTCTACAGAGCTGTCTACGTGCCTAGAATCACGTACGGGGTCTCAATTTGGATGTCGGACTGGGGAAAGACTGAACGGGAAATGATAGCAAGATTGCAAAGGATTCCTCTACTAGCAGTTACGAGCGCATACAGAACAGCCCCCACAGAAGGTCTACAGGTAATTGCTGGTCTTCTGCCGCTGGACCTCCAGATACTATGGGAGGGCGTCAGATAAGAGGAAAGACAAGGAGTCATCACCAAGGAGGCACAGGAAGACCTAAGACAGAACCTAACCAACATATGGCAGGACAGATGGAATCAATCATCTAAAGCAAGGTGGACACACAGAATGATACCGGATATCAAGAACAGGATGGTAACCCCACTAAAACTAGACCACTACGTGGTACAGTACTTAACGGGACATGGAGACTTTGTGGCAAAATTACACTCTCTAGGGCTGAAAGACTCCCCATTATGTAGTTGCGGACAAGGAGAGGACGATGCAGAACATGCTATCCACACCTGTAAAAACGTTGATGAACATAGGCAACATCTAATGAAGACAATCATAGATGATGGGTTTGACTGGCCCTGCAGCCCAGATACGCTAATAAAAACAAGGGCAATTTTTAATTCTTTAAGAAGATTTGCAAAAGTAACACTGTCATTAAAGAGACAAGAAGATGAGCACGTCTCGTAGGCGAAGTATAACTCCTTGTTGTCGGGGAAAAGAATTCAACAACAGTCTTATCCAACTTGATCGTAAGAGGCGACTAAAAAGATAAACAGGAGTAAGCTATGATAGATACAAAGGAGCCTATTATCCTGTATCAGGAGCCCCTCCACCCCCACCCAACTCAGCTAATGGTTGCCGAGTTGGGCATCATGCCCACCACTAGCTGGATTGGGTATCCAGAATAGTGGGAGAGGTGCCAACACTTCGGGTTGACCAACTGACGTCAACCATAAACCTAGTCAGTACCGCGGGAGAGGGGAGCCCCATCGCTTATCACGACGGCTCGCCGTTGTGGTAGTGGTGCCCCTCAAGGTTGAGGAGCCTACCTCGGCTGAAACGCGGGGGTTGTGGGACCAGCGCTAGATAGTAACAAGCCACTCCACCTTGGTGAGAGAAGGGGCCCCTAAGACGAAAGTCGACCCAACTCGGAAAGGTACGGGTCCTAGACCCGGTGCTGGTGGTCCATATGACGACCCAGTTACGCCCGGCGCTGCCTGAACCTCTACGGCTCGTAACTAACTCTCAGAGTTAATAAACGGTCCGCAGTTGTAAGGCTCAGGCCAGAAAACCAAGAATCCTCGTGAACAATACGAAGTAGTAAAGTAATAAGAATGAAAAAAAAATTGTGTATAGAATATTATGTCAGGTATTATATAGCATAAATTATGTTTGAGTTACAGGAAAAATACGTCAAAAAAAAGTAAAAAAAAAATATATATATAAATGTACAAAAAAAACAAATGTGTAAGTATTAATTACAAGTGGAATCATGAAAGAAAAAAAAATGTATTAGTTTTAATATTAGAAAATAAGGAAATATGTTGAAAAGTGTTGATGTAATAAACAATAATGGTTATCAATGTTATCATGTCTCATGACGTATAACATAAATTATGTTTCATTTGTAAGAAAATATAAATAAATGATATATTAATGTTGAATGCATATGTGAAAATTATGTTCTTGTACATAGGTATAAGAAAATAATGTGATAAGATGATATGTTAAACAAAATGTATATAATAACGTTGATTAAATAGTAAAAACAATGTATTAGTGGTAAGGGGATATAATAAGGTGACAAAATATGTAAAATGATTAGTTAAGGTGAAATGTATATAATACGTTATATTTTATAAAAATGTATTATAGTAAATTAGGTTGTATCAAATTCATAGGATGAGTTGAGACAATGTACCAGATACCTACAGCCAGAACCATGCAACCTTCCAAGTACTACGATATATAAAATCATATCTTTGGTCCACTACAGGCAGGGGAAATAAATAAATCACAATGGATAATGGATATGGATTCCAGTCAAAGGGGTCATCTGGTATGATGCAGGTGTTTAAAGCTGACTAATAGATAATATGATATGATAGATGGTATATATCAGTACTTGTAAAAAAAAAAACAAAAGAAAAGAAAAAAAAGAAAAAAAAAGAAAAGAAAAAGGTGTGGAAATGGATGTAGGTGATTGCTGCAAAGGTATCATGGTACAATTGTTTGTGGGATAATTCCCCCCCCCCCTTAGTTTTTAAAGGAAGGGGGGTAATGTAGCGGATCACATCTATGTGAGGCCATTACATGGTGTTATACATATACATAATAAAATTATAAAAATCAAAACAATGATGCAAAATTTAATGAAGCTGAATCAGCAAAATTGCTACGATTACATAAGGCGACGTCTGCGACGGGAGCGGGTCTGTTCAGTTTTTGGTTCACGCATTGTCGTGGCTAACGAGCAGTATTTGACGTTTTTTTTTTTGATATTCTTTTATATATTATATTTAATTCTTTTAACCAAGTGTTACTATTTTTCTTTACGACTATTTTAGAGTATTTTATCTTGTGTGTAAAGAGACGTTGGTGGTGGAAAACACTTTTGAAAAAGATAGTAAGACACTGTAATACTTACTGACTCGTCCAGTACTCGTTATCGTGGTCAGTCGAGAAAGAGTAAGACTTTGCCTAGGTTAAAGATATCTCACTCTCAAACATCCAGTACTCGTTATCGTGGTCAGTTGTTAGAGAGTAAAGTAACTTTAGAGTTGTATTGTGTAAAATCTGTTTGGACCTCGTTTAATTATCTTTTGTGCAGTACTCGTCATCGTGGTCACCAAAAGAATAATTTAAATAAAGTTCATACAGCAGGTATCGATAATTTACTTGTTTGACGGTTAGAGAATCGGAAACCGAAAGATATCTGTTGTATACGTCAAGCCTTTGCGTGGCGTATACGACA